CCCCTTTCCACGGGCCTTTAAATCCCCCTTTCCACGGGCCTTTAAATCCCCCTTTCCACGGGCCTTTAAATCCCCCTGTCCACGGGCCTTTAAATCCCCCTGTCCACGGGCCTTTAAATCCCCCTGTCCACGGGCCTTTAAATCCCCCTGTCCACGGGCCTTTAAATCCCCCTTTCCACGGGCCTTTAAATCCCCCTTTCCACGGGCCTTTAAATCCCCCTTTCCACGGGCCTTTAAATCCCCCTTTCCACGGGCCTTTAAATCCCCCTTTCCACGGGCCTTTAAATCCCCCTTTCCACGGGCCTTTAAATCCCCCTTTCCACGGGCCTTTAAATCCCCCTTTCCACGGGCCTTTAAATCCCCCTTTCCACGGGCCTTTAAATCCCCCTTTCCACGGGCCTTTAAATCCCCCTTTCCACGGGCCTTTAAATCCCCCTTTCCACGGGCCTTTAAATCCCCCTTTCCACGGGTCTTTAAATCCCCCTTTCCACGGGCCTTTAAATCCCCCTTTCCACGGGCTTTTAAATCCCCCTTTCCACGGGCCTTTAAATCCCCCTTTCCACGGGCCTTTAAATCCCCCCTTCCAAGGGCCTTTAAATCCCCCCTTCCAAGGGCCTTTAAATCCCCCTTCCACGGGCTTTTGAATCCACCCTTCCACGTGATCTTAATCCCCCGTTCCACGGGCTGTTAATCCTTCCCTTCACGGGGTCTTAATCCCTTTCCACAGGTTTTTAATCCGTCTCTCCCCCCCCCCCCCAGTACTTAACTGTCGCACCGTTCATGCCGGTCACATCCCTGGCCTGGGAACCGGAGATCTGGACCTGAAACTCCAATTTTCCGAACGTCTTTTCTGTTGCTGAACTCATATCTCAGACCCAATTCAGTCCAAGTTTCTCCCTGATGCCTGAATTTGTCACCGTCCCTTTGCAGCTGCGACTGTTGGTTTTTAGTGACTCGAGGAGGAGGAATAGGAAGAGAAAGGGGCGGAGAGAGGAATAAAGTGGGGGAGAGGGAGACAGAAGAAGCCACGAAGCAGAGAAAGTGAAATGCGTGAGAAAGGGATTAACCTTTTGTAGTGTTGGTGCTGTTATGCTGTCTTGTTGCCTCTGCTGCTGCCTCTGCTGCTGCTGCTGCTGCTCCTGCTACCTGCTCAAGGACTGGTAGAGTCCCGACCAGTTGAACAGCCTGAAGAAGTTCAGCGCACCGCAAGTCCTCGCTAATTAGCCCGGGATGAAAGAACGCCTCGGGCCACCTGCCCAACTAGGGAGTTTGGTTTGAAAATATTCCTTTCCAGACTACCTGAAGCGGTCGGACAAGCTGGTGCTTGTTGATTGTGTGAGGTTTTGGTGGTGGTGTTGGTGGTGGCGTGGTGGTGGCGTGGTGTTGGTGGCGTGGTGGTGTTGGTGGCGTGGGGGTGGTGGTGGTGTTGAAGAGAGAATTCCATTTCCTGACTGCCTTAAAGAGTGCAAGTTGAGTGCGCGCCATGTAGTATAGTAGCGTGCATTCCCCAGCGTGCACACGCAAGAGTCTTCGGTCTAAAGCCTTGTGGTAGCCTCCTGGAGTATCCTTGGATAGCTAACGAGTCAGTCTGAAGATGTTGCAATGACCGTTGCCAGCCTACTGTGGAGCTGCCACGGGAGACAACGCAAGTCCTCATGGGGAGTCATTGCCCAGGGGTTGCAAGCCCCAGGGGTTGCAAGCCCCAGGGGTTGCAAGCCCAGGGGTCACCTCGCCGCTAGCTGATGTGTATGACGGCCTCTGATTGGGCTAAGCATGTTTACTCGTGTCTCCTCCAATAAGAAAAGAGTTGAGTAGACAGCTTGGTAAAGGACTTGGCCACCTCAGCCAAGCTTGGGCGTCTCAGGGATCATTCTCAAGGAGGAATGATCTTCATCGATAACGTTATGCCAATTTTCTTGATTAAATTTTTCATCTTTAATTCTATAAATTCTATATTTCTCATTTTTTGAACATCTGTTAGGCTTATCGGGGGACTTATTTTTTTGTCAATAATATACCACTCAGGATGCCAGCCACAACAGCTCGCTAACTCCCAGGTTCCTATCTATTGCAAGGTGAATAGCGACAGCGTGTGTGATCAAACGTATTGTCCTGCTTGGGAATCAAACCCGGGACCATTCGGCTGCGAGCCGATGCACCAAAGGTCACCTTAATTGAATATATATACACTTAGGGTTCTTCAGGGTTCTACTCAGGGTTCTTATGATGTATATTCCAGAGCGTGAGAGAGAGAGCGTGAGAGAGCGTGAGAGACCTTGTGTATAAATGAATTGGTGTGAGGTTCAAGGGAAAAGGATCTGGCCAGGAACTGGATGGGTGACCGTGAAGACTTGGATAGCTGCGCCTCGATGACCCCCTAAAAAAAAAAAGTTTTCTGTCCCCCCCAATCAACGGGTCCACAAAACAACTGATGAGTCGTACGACAATACTAATCGTCAACCTCACAAACCATTAATACTTCACTGTCCCTCTCCTTCAGGCGCATCAACGTGACTAATTTCGGGCCCCGGGAGGACTGCCTGTCCCCGCTGGAGGAGCAGAGGACCTTCATCATCTTAGCCACCTACAAGTCAGGCCGGAGACTCCGGGCCCACTACGACCACCCCGGTAGCGCCGCCGTCCAATGGTCCAAAGAAAACGAAGAGATTGTTTGGAGTTCCTTAGGTAAGTGTGTTGTTTTTGTTAGAGATTCAGCCCCCCGGAACAAGTTCCAAGTAGCACGGGCTATGGTGAGCCCGTAGTGGACTTACCTGGCACAGGAGCGGTGCCGTATGTACAGTAGGTAAGTGTGACGCTAGTGTTCTATATATATATATATATATATATATATATATATATATATATATATATATATATATATATATATATATATGTCGTACCTAGTAGCCAGAACTCACTTCTATGCCTACTATGCAAGGCCCGATTTGCCTAATAAGCCAAGTTTTCATGAATTAATTGTTTTTCGACTACCTAACCTACCTAACCTAACCTAACCTAACGTTTTCGGCTACCTAACCTAACCTAACCTATAAAGATAGGTTAGGTTAGGTTAGGTAGGGTTGGTTAGGTTCGGTCATATATCTTCGTTAATTTTAACTCCAATAAAAAATATTGACCTCATACATAATGAAATGGGTAGCTTTATCATTTCATAAGAAAAAAATTAAAGAAAATATATTAATTCAGGAAAACTTGGCTTATTAGGCAAATCGGGCCTTGCATAGTAGGCTGAGAAGTGCGTTCTGGCTATTAGGTACGACATATATATATATATATATATATATATATATATATAGCCGGAAGGAGTTAGACGTATCTATAGAGATGGGGGGGGGCGCGATTGTCGGGTTCGCTTTCAATATTTCGTTGTAAGGAGTCGTTAAAAGTGCTACATTAACGGCCCTCGTTTTCGTGTAGTATGAAGATGCGCGAGTGAGCAAATACTGACATATTTTATGAGTTGCAATGCTTAAGTAACAATTAAATTTATTTATAAAATGGTATGTAATATATATATGTCGTACCTAGTAGCCAGAACGCACTTCTCAGCCTACTATGCAAGGCCCGATTTGCCTAATAAGCCAAGTTTTCATGAATTAATTGTTTTTCGACTACCTAACCTACCTAACCTAACCTAGCTTTTTCGGCTACCTAACCTAACCTATAAAGATAGGTTAGGTTAGGTAGGGTTGGTTAGGTTCGGTCATATATCTACGTTAATTTTAACTCCAATAAAAAAAATTGACCTCATACAAAATGAAATGGGTAGATTTATCATTTCATAAGAAAAAAATTTGAGAAAATATATTAATTCAGGAAAACTTGGCTTATTAGGCAAATCGGGCCCTGAATTGTAGGCTGAGAAGTGCGTTCTGGCTACTAGGTACGACATATATATATATATATAATATATATATAATATATATATATATATATATATATATATATATATATATATATATATATATATATATATATATATATATATAATATATATATATATATAATATATATATATATATATATATATATATATATATATATATATATATATATATATATAATATATATATATATATATAATATATATATATATATATATATATATATATATATATATATATATATATATATATATATATATATATATATATATCTCACTTTTTTCCGCCTAACTGAAGACAATCCTCAACTATTCCGAAAACTTTGAAAGCATATCAAGGTCTTTACTAGTGTCCGTTATATCAAGGTCTTTACTAGTGTCCGTTATATCAAGGTCTTTACTAGTGTCCGGTATATCAAGGTCTTTACTAGTGTCCGGTATATCAAGGTCTTTACTAGTGTCCGGTATATCAAGGTCTTTACTAGTGTCCGGTATATCAAGAGCGTCTCAGAATACATGGATGTTTCCAGATGATAATATTTGGCTAAAAGGGTTAAATCTTAATTTACAATATTCTTAAATATTTACAAGAAAGCTAATTTGAGTAAATTTACTTGTTTGTTATGCATTCCACGCTCATCCTGTTGAGAGGGGGGGGGGGGGGTAGTGGACCCCCATCCTCATCTTGTCGGGGGTAGTGGACCCCCATCCTCATCTTGTCGGGGGGTAGTGGACCCCCATACCTATCCCATTGGCGGTAGTGGACCCCCATAGCTTTCCCATTGGCGGTAGTGGACCCCATAGCTATCCCATTGGCGGTAGTGGACCCCATAGCTATCCCATTGGCGGTAGTGGACCCCATAGCTATCCCATTGGCGGTAGTGGACCCCCATAGCTATCCCATTGGCGGTAGTGGACCCCCATAGCTATCCCATTGGCGGTAGTGGACCCCCATAGCTATCCCATTGGCGGTAGTGGACCCCCATAGCTATCCCATTGGCGGTAGTGGACCCCCATAGCTATCCCATTGGCGGTAGTGGACCCCCATAGCTATCCCATTGGCGGTAGTGGACCCCATACCTATCCCATTGGCGGTAGTGGACCCCCATAGCTATCCCATTGGCGGTAGTGGACCCCATAGCTATCCCATTGGCATTCCACACTAGTAGGCATCCATCAGTCTCAGGAGACTATGGAGTTGCGCTCTGGTTGTCGGTCTGGAGTGACCTCACCAGGGCGCAAAGCCAGGGGTAGGTTGATACGGAGGAGAAGCTGTTACCCAAGCAGCAGGTCCCCCCCCCCTCTCCACCTCGCTGAAAGTCTCCAATGGAAAGGAGACAGGGTTCACATTCTCACCCTGTATAGTTTTGTGTATTTTCAGGTGGTGGGGGGGAATTCAATCCTAAGGCTGCATACTCAAGAGTGGGACTCACATACGTTGAATATCGTGTTCCCGTTTCATCCTCATAATGTTGCATTTGTCTGGGTTGAAGTCCAACAGCTCTTGTTTGGGGGATATAATTATTTTTATTCCATGTTGTTGTTGTTTAAGATTCGTTACCTGGAACAAAATGTTCCAAGTAGCACGGGCTATGGTGAGCCCGTAGTGGACTGTTTTTTATTCCATTATCATTATCTTCTACTTGACTCGCTTTGAGCTATTATTAAAAAAAAATGTTTTATAATAATAAATAAATAAATGTATATTTAGGTAAGGTACATACAAGAGATTTTACAAAGTTTGTTGGATTAATAGACGGAAATTTAGAAATTATTTAGAAATAGACGGAAATTTTAGAAATCATTCGTTGTATGACTTGTGAACTTTTAGTTTAATGGCAAAACTAAAATTGTCTTAATTATCATTGCCATTAAAAAGATTATCATCAACTACTTGATGATGGTTGATGATAATTGTTACTTTTAGATTATATTATTTATATTTAGTTATGCTAAATAGGGGAGCCGGTCGGCCGAGCGGACAGCGCACTGGACTTGTGATCCTGTGATCCCGGGTTCGATCCCGGGCGCCGGCGAGAAACAATGGGCAGAGTTTCACCCTATGCCCCTGTTACCTAGCAGTAAAATAGGTACCTGGGTGTTAGTCAGCTGTCACGGGCTGCTTCCTGGGGGTAGAGGCCTGGTCAAGGACCGGGCCGCGGGGACACTAAAGCCCCGAAATCATCTCAAGATAACCTCAAGATAACCAAGATGCTAAAGTGTACACATGTAAATTATGGAACTACTGGGAACTATCAGGAGAAAGCGCCAATCCATTACGACTATATAGCACTGGGATCAGGATAAGGATTTGGAATGAGACGGGGGGAAGGGGGGGTGTGAAGGAATAGTGCCCAACCACTTGGACAGTCGGGGATTGAACGCCGACCTGCTTGACACGAGACCGTCGCTCTACCTACCGTCCAGCCCAAGTGATTGGGCAAATGCCGGATCCAAACTTTATTTTATCCTGTTTATGGTAGTGAATGTGCATAATTGTCCCAACTGCCGCAGTAACTACCATTAGAAATCACGTAGTAACAATATTTCCCTCATTAACGCTCAAATTACAGCTTGGTGTAATTTAACACTAGAACCCCTATCGGTAAACTATCACGCTACAGTGATACAGATAATTACATCACGTTAAATGTGAAATGTGTGTGTAATGCCTCCACCCACCCCCCCCCTCCCTCCCCCCAGTCTTTTGTATGCGCTCGCTGTGAATAATTAAATGATTGTGGGGGAAGGATGAGTTAGGTTAGCTGTTAGTGGTGGCTTGAATGTTTGATGACCATTGGTGACTATTGGTGGACTAATGGAGTGGTGTTGAAGCCGCTCCATTCTCCTAAAATTGAAGTACTTACAGTAACTGTTTGGTCAAAAGTACAATATGTAGTGATGGACCAACAAAAGTTGACTTTTGTGTTATTGGATTTGGGCAAATGGGGAACTTTATTTTTAAAATAGAAGATGTAACCTATGCAGACGAGGAGTCACAACGTGGCTGAAATATGCTGACCAGACCACACACTAGAAAGTGAAGGGACGACGACGTTTCGGTCCGTCCTGGACCATTCTCACAATCGACTTGAGAATGGTCCAGGACGGACCGAAACGTCGTCATCCCTTCACTTTCTAGTGTGTGGATTGGTCAATAGCTGTAACCTAATTTCTCCTGGCACTCCTTGGCCAAATACACCCTATTTTAGGCCTAATATAGTACATAAACATGCTATTCTAGGCCTATAAATACTTAAGTTTCTCATCTTCATTTTTTCCTGACTAAAATGTACAAAAAATTGAACTATTGGTGGTCCATCACACGAAATTTTGTAGTTTCGACCAAATAGTTTCCAAAAGTATTATCATTTTAGGAGGTTAGTTTTAGTTATGTATTAAGAGGATTGACGTCTCGGTTGAATTCCTGTCGATTTTAGTTCATATTTTTGTTAAATTAAATTAGAGGTGGTGGGATTAACCTGAAATCTGAGAGAGTTTCTCTTGCACCTCAACTGCCTCAATACGGGACACCATGACGACTCTTGTCAAACAACGGTTCAGCTATTTGGTGGTCTCATTTGTTCACGCAGCTGCACAAAGGTTATGACCTCTCCATGTGGGCGGGTACGAATTTTCGCAGGTCAAAATTGTGTAGTTTCCCACCAACACCAAAAAACATACCTGCTCCGAGGCCTCAGACGCGACCTAATTGCTCCCACGTGCATACACCCTAACGCCACACACACACACACACACACACACACGCACACACACACACACACACACATACACACACACACACACACACACACACACACACATACCGGCCGAGCGGACAGCACGCTGGACATGTGATCCTGTGGTCTTGGGTTCGATCCCGAGCGCCGGCGAGAAACGATGGGCAGAGTTTCTTTCACCCTATGCTTGTGAGCAACAGAGTCGTTAAAGGCGTGAATTTCAGGCATGTCTCTTGTTGTATAACACCAGCGTCTCTTGTTGTATAACACCTGCGTCTCTTGTTGTATAACACCTGCGTCTCTTGTTGTATAACACCTGCGTCTCTTGTTGTATAACTCGGTAATGACAATGCAGACCGGAGATTATTGCACACCGTTGCCAGAATCTCCCTTAGTTGCTTACTGTATTTGCAATAAATTAAAAAAAAAATATCAATTTACGTAACAGGATTTTGAAAAACAATTCTTATTAATACCAGTCAGATTAAACATATATTTAGTTCTTATTTTAAAAGACCATGAGTAGTACTGATTGATGCACATTTTAATATTTTTATAAAGAACATGAAACCTGCTACAGACCAACTTCACAGTAACCAAACTCTAAATGCCCTTCATCTTTCGAGCAAAATGCAAATGCCAATAAGCAAAATGCAAATAAAAAATTACTGAATCTTGATTTCGGGAATTACAATTTCTGGAACAAATTTCGTAGCGGGAATCCGGACTTCGGGAATGGTTTGGTCTGGTACGAATTCACTGTCGAAGGTGGGAATGTTGAAGTCCTGAGTCTTGAAGGTGGTGGGTGTAGGGGCGGGCGTCTCCGGCAGCAGATCCACGAAGAGCTTTACGAACTCCAGCGTCTGGGGCACTACTCGTTCTGCAGCCTCCTGCCTCTTCAGGTTCTTCTCGGTGTCGAAGTCCAGGGAGGTCCTACCGCGGTGGTCGACCACGGAGCGGAAGAGAGGAAGGAAAGCCAGAGTGATCCTGCCGATCCTATCGATCTGCGTCCCATCCTCGTTGGTGAGAGCTTCTTTTAGGGTAGGTAGGAACTTCGAAGTGATTTCTAACGCTTGCGAGAGCTCTTCCGGGTCCACCTGGTTGACATCAGCGCTGGAGGTTAGTGTAGCCGTGGAGGGTACTGGGACGGCTGACACCAGTCCCACTACACCCAAAATACACACGGTGACCTGTAATGATTGACACAAGTGGTTTACATGTAATGCAGCTGCCAGTGATTTGGTTGATAATAAGATTCTAATTCATATTCAGGGGCCGGGTGTATAATTTCTCAACCTTCCTCAAACACTTTCACATTTGTTGTGCATAAGCTACATGGTAAATGCTCCAACTTTTCCTAATGGATCAATATCATAACATGAATATAATAAATAATATATAAACAATTCAAATTTTCACAATTTCAAATTCCTAAAATTTAATATTTTATCAATTTTTATTTTATTCATTATGGGCTCAGAATGGCATATAACGTTCATTTTCCTCCATAAACAAATTTAGTTTGAGTATAGTTTACTGTACAAAAAAAATAGTCCGTGGCCTTCAAAATTTGCGCAAAATTTAGAAGCAAAAATGTATAACTCCAAATGTTATGGGTTTATGAATAATCGATATGAAGGAAACCTTAGAACTTAGAACTTTGTACATAATATGTAAAAATGGTGAGAATCGAACAAAAACTGAATTTTGAGTATTGTCTCAAAGTTGAAAATCCTGTTCATACAGAAAAATTAAGGTAAATTTCTAGATAATAAACTAGTTCAAATTGATATCATATCTTGTAAGTTTTAATAAATATTGCTTGACATTCGTTCTTGAATATGTGAAAGTTGTGGGTCAATATGTGTTGAAATGAAGCCAAGAAAAAAAATAATCCCCACGAAAAACAAAATATAAGGATTATGGGTTTAGGGATATATAAAAGTATACTTTATATAAGTGATAAAGCCATCATCTAGTCCCCATTGAGCAGAAACAACCTAAAGAGATAAAGAAAATAGACTTTGAAATCTGTGAATAATTCGCCCCCCCCCCCCCACAAAAAAAAAATCAGTCAAGTTCTGCCACCAGTGGCTGATATATTTGTTGACCAATTTCATTCAAACTTGGTATATGCAGGCGATGAGTCACTAACGTGGCTGAAGTACGTTGACCAGACCACACACTAGAAGGTGAAGGGACGACGACGTCTCGGTCCGTCCTGGACTATTCTCAAGTCGACTGTCGTCCCTTCACCTTCTATTGTGAAGTCTGCTCAACAAACTTCGCATACCTAGTGACGGGTATACATTCTCCAAGATATAGAAGCCACAAGAAAATCAGATGAGAAACAAAGGAGAAAAAATATTATAAAATACCCCTCAAAAACAAATTGGTGAGATTATTAGCATTATATAGAAATTATTAGCATTGGACAATGTTTTGATATAATAAAATATACCAATATAAGCAGGCGATGAGTCACAATAACGTGGCTGAAGTACGTTGACCAGACCACACACTAGAAATTGAAGGGACGACGACGTTTCGGTCCGTCCTGGACCATTCTCAAGTCGATTGTACAATCACAATCGACTTGAGAATGGTCCAGGACGGACCGAAACGTCGTCGTCCCTTCAATTTCTAGTGTGTGGTCTGGTCAATATACCAATATAACATACTTATTATTATTTGTCTGAAATTTTGCCCTCCCAGGTGGCACTCAGCCATCTTAGAAGGTACCAGCTGTATACCCTCTTTGTGGACCACCTCTTTACTAATAATACTACTCCTCTTTATGCGTCGGACAGGTGGTTGCATCTCTTTATCACTGTATTATCCATCAGTTCCACTAACTAGAAGGTGTTATCATCAGAACTGGTTGGGCACTTTTTTTTATTAATTCATAAAAATCTATTTCTTAACATATTGGGATGAGATTTTCACGACGCTGATGCTAAATAACGCGAGATTTGTTGAACTCTTTTCACTGTATTTCATATTTGGACGAATATTTTTGTGTGCATCCGTCCCCTTCAATTGGTTTACAGTACACACATTTACAGCAAATTATTTCCCTACGAGAAAGTCATAATAATAGCTTAACACACAATATAGAAAAAATAATTAACGTAGTTACTCAAGATTTAGATACAGATTTGGAAGTAACATCAGTGATTTTTTTTTTCAATCATTATAGTTGTCGAATTTAGAATCAAACTATGTTCATAACTTAAGAACATCAGGACATTAATGGGAGACCTAAGCAGGCGTTTTTCAGTCTGAATCAACCGCTACATTCTTGGCATGAAGTGAACAATATTGAGCTTAGAATTTGAAAGGTGATATACATATATATATATATATATATATATATATATATATATATATATATATATATATATATTTATATATATATATATATATATATATATATATATATATATATATATATATACACATATACGTACGGTCAGGCGCCTGACGGCTGAGTGGACAGCGCTCGAGATTCATAGTCCTAAAGTTCCGGGTTCAATCCCACGTGGAGGCGGAAACAAATGGCCAGTCTTTCACCCTGATGCCCCTGTTCACCCAGCAGTAAATAGGTATCTGGGAGTTACACAGCTGCTACGGGCTGCTTCCTGAAGGATGTGTAATAAAAAAAGGAGGCCTAATCGAGGACCGGGCCGCGGGGACGCTAAGCCCCGAAATCTCAAGATAACCTCAAGAAGGTAAGGTACTTATCACGAGAAAACCCGTAGCCATTCGGACTATATAACGCTAGGAAAGCATTCCAGAATAAAGATTTAGGATAGGATGTGGGACACGAATGGTGCCCAACCGCTTACATATTGGAACACGTTAAGTGTAGTTTACCATTAGAGCGGAAGGATAGAAATTCACACATAGTATATCACCAAATTAGGATGAGGAAGAAGCAATTAAATGAACTAATATATATATTAGTGGAATGATTAATCTATAAAAAAAATTCACACTGCAGCTTCCACTGATTCAGTAAATAATACAATGCTGCTTCCATGGACCTCGTGGGTTTTTATCATGGCACAGTGCCTCGTGGGTCTGTATCATCATGGCACAGTGCCTCTTGGGTCTGTATCATGGCACAGTGCCTCGTGGGTCTGTATCATGGCACAGTGCCTCTTGGGTCTGTATCATCATGGCACAGTGCCTCTTGGGTCTGTATCATCATGGCACAGTGCCTCTTGGGTCTGTATCATCATGGCACAGTGCCTCGTGGGTCTGTATCATCATGGCACAGTGCCTCGTGGGTCTGTATCATCATGGCACAGTGCCTCGTGGGTCTGTATCATCATGGCACAGTGCCTCGTGGGTCTGTATCATCATGGCACAGTGCCTCGTGGGTCTGTATCATCATGGCACAGTGCCTCGTGGGTCTGTATCATCATGGCACAGTGCCTCGTGGGTCTGTATCATCATGGCACAGTGCCTCGTGGGTCTGTATCATCATGGCACAGTGCCTCGTGGGTCTGTATCATCATGGCACAGTGCCTCGTGGGTCTGTATCATCATGACACAGTGCCTCGTGGGTCTGTATCATCATGGCACAGTGCCTCATGGGTCTGTATCATCATGGCACAGTGCCTCATGGGTCTGTATCATCATGGCACAGTGCCTCATGGGTCTGTATCATCATGGCAAGTGCCTCATGGGTCTGTATCATCATGGCACAGTGCCTCGTGGGTCTGTATCATGGCACAGTGCCTCGTGGGTCTGTATCATCATGGCACAGTGCCTCGTGGGTCTGTATCATGATGGCACAGTGCCTCGTGGGTCTGTATCATCATGGCACAGTGCCTCGTGGGTCTGTATCATCATAGCAACAGTGCCTCATGGGTCTGTATCATCATGGCACAGTGCCTCGTGGGTCTGTATCATGGCACAGTGCCTCGTGGGTCTGTATCATGGCACAGTGCCTTAATGTGGCCTCTTGCATCACTGTGGCCTCTCGCAACAATATGGCCTCTTGCAACAATATGGCCTCTTGCAACAAGTTGGCCTCTTGCAACAATATGGCCTCTTGCAACAAGTTGGCCTCTCGCAACAGGTTGGCCTCTCGCAACAATATGGCCTCTTGCAACAATATGGCCTCTTGCAACAATATGGCCTCTTGCAACAATATGGCCTCTTGCAACAAGTTGGCCTCTTGCAACAATATGGCCTCTTGCAACAAGTTGGCCTCTCGCAACAGGTTGGCCTCTCGCAACAATATGGCCTCTCGCAACACTTATGGTTTAGAGTTTATACAGGGTCCAAGAAAGAAGGCAACACCCAAACCCAACCATTCCTAGGCCTAACATAGTGCATATCAACAAAATTAGACCTAAAAAATTCCGAGCAGAATATTAAAATTAGTAGTTGGCCTTGGTGGTATGTAAGGGGGGAGGGGGGGGGACTTAGATAAGTATAAATGCATGATTTACGTCAACTTAAACACTCGGGAGAGGTTAGGTCGAGAGAACTCTTTTCTAGCAAGGATCTAAACCCGTCCTGCGCTGCCCCGAACCTCATACACCCCCCCCCACTCATACACCCCCCCCTCATACACCCCCCCCTCATACACCCCCCCCCCCCCCTCATACACCCCCCCCCTCACCCACCCCCCCTCATACACCCCCCTCATACACCCCCCTCATACACCCCCCCCTCATACACCCCCCTCATACACCCCCCCTGATACACCCCCCTCATACACCCCCCTCATACAACCTCCCTCATACACCCCCCCACATACAACCTCCCTCATACACCCCCCCCTCATACACCCCCCCCTCATACACCCCCCCTCATACACCCCCCCTCATACACCCCCTCATACACTCGCGTCCCTCACAATACTCACGGGTTCTTTCCTCAGGTTATTGCCCCTCAACAAACCTGTATAATATAGTCCTGTGTGACTTAATCCTACACTGGCACTCAGATTTAAACATTTATTTTCATTTGGTTAGCACCGAGAACGTACAAATATTTGCTGGATATATATTGCTAATTTACGTTACTTGGGAGACACTGATCGAGGCACCACAGCTCACGTGACCGATGGCAACAGTTTCTTACCTGAAACTTCATTTCCGGTTATGGCAGCCTTAGGAGGAACTGTTGCGTCCGTCTTCAAGACGCAGCCTGTGGGACGTGGCCCTCCCAGGCGTCTTATGTAGCCGGTGGACACCCTGAAGGAAGGGTACCTCTCTCGCCCGATCTCCATTGAATAGCTTAAATATTGCCTTAATTACAACAGTCAGCGAGGCCCCGTTTTGCGGCAATTACACATGTGTATGAGTTTGTGTGGTAGGATATGTATAGTTACATGTATATTCGCTGTGTTTGTGGGAAAAATATGTTTTGTTTATGGAGGAGGTGCAGAGTACAGCGCCACCTAGCGTCGTCTTAAGCTGTATTTTGGCTAGTTGATGTAAGTTGTTGGCCTTGGTCTCTCCACACGCCATTGGCTTCCTGGTCCACACCCTCTCCTGACCGCTCTACACCCACCACCTGTCCCACTGTCCCCCCACCACACTGACACACTGACCCCACACAACACTCCCTGTCCCAGTAACTGAACTATTCACGTTACTCACCGTGAGAGTAAGAACATGACCGGAACGTGAAGATGCCAACATAGAAAACACTGCCTCAACATGTTGACCAGACCACACACTAGAAGGTGAAGGGACGACGACGTTTCGGTCCGTCCTGGGACCGTACTCGAGTCGATTGTGGTTATTCTCAAGTTGATTCTCAAGTAGTCTGGTCAACATTCTTCAGCCATGTTATTGTCATTCATTGCCTGCACTGCTCAACTTGCCACGCCCGCTACGCCTGATAAATCTTTTTATGTGCTTCCCTCCCCCCCCTCCCCATGTTTGTATTTAATTAGTCCCTATTTACTTCCCCTATCTGTCCCCCATTTATGCCCTATTCTTCCTTTACGGTGTACTCCTCACCTATTTCTATTACCTGACCCTAATGGTTTAAAGCCAATACTCCCAGTATTGGCTTTATTATTGTCCCTTCACTTGAGAATGAACCATGTAGGTTCGACCTACATGGTGCTTCTGGTGGACCTGTGTACAGTACCTGTGGTGGACCTGTGTACAGTGCCTGTGGTGGACCTGTGTACAGTACCTGTGATGGACCTGTGTACACTGTGGTGGACCTGTGTACAGTGCCTGTGATGGACCTGTGTACAGTGCCTGTGGTGGACCCGTGTACAGTGCCTGTGGTGTACCCGTGTACAGTGCTTGTGGTGGACCTTTGTACACTGGAACACAATAGCGGTGTAAGGAAGTACACAATACACTGCTAGATGATATTAGGTTTGAAATAAATTTAATGTTTAATTCTTCACATTTATTTTTGAACTTAATCACACACACACAGTTTTTTACACATGGTACACGCACAAGGGGACAAAGGTGGAAATTGAGTGCTCAAATGAGCCATAAACACATTATAAATACTATTTTTTAGTGTCAGAGTAGTTGACAAATGGAATGCATTAGGAAGTGATGTGGTGGAGGCTGACTCCATACACAGTTTCAAATGTAGATATCATAGAGCCCAGTAGGCTCAGGAATCTATACATCAGTTGAGTGACAGTTGAGAGGCGCGATCAAAGAGCCAGAGCTCAACCCCCGCAAGCACAACTAGGTAAGTACACTCACAGCCGCGAGGCTCCCTAGGAGGGTCACGCGGCGCAGTCCTAAGGGCCCGGGTTCGATTCCCGGCCGAGGTAGAAGCAAATGGACAGTTTCTTTCACCCTGATGCGCCTGTTCACCTAGCAGTAAATAGGTAGCTTGGAGTTAGACAGCTGCTACGGGCTACTTCCTAGGAATGTGTGAGTGTGTGTTAGAAAAGAATATAGTAGACATAGACGAAAATAGATTGGTTAGAAAGGCCGGGTCCAAGAGCTAATAGCTAGATCCTGCAGGCTCAAATACTAAATACACACACACACGCACACACGCACACACACACACACAAATATATCCAAAAAATATCCAAATATATCCAAAAGTTATTCCAAAAATATTAGATAATCAAGCTGAAAGTTCGTCTAAAATCTCACAATACAAAATATATACAAAGAACCGCGATGCATTTACATTATTAATCTTCGAATTTTTGTATCGACAAATATCTCAGAATGTTGGAGATGAAGCGGCGGAGCCTTGGTCGCCCGAGGTCGCAATTATTGAATCTTTATTTCTGGAATGACGATTTCTGGCACGAACTGAGTTGCTGGAATCCTGACCTCTGGGACCGTGGAGTCTGGAACGAACTCGCTATCGAAGGTCGGGATGTTGAAGCGTGGGATAACGACCGGGGCTGGGGTAGTTTGAGGCGGGAGGTTATCGAGCAAACTACCCAGGGAGTTCAAGAGGGAAGGTACAATGCGTTCGGCGATTTCCTGCTGCTCGAGGTAGTACTCTTTGTCGTACTTGTCGTTGTTCTTGCCTCTGAGGTTGACCACGGTGCGCGCGAGGGGGAGGAAGGAGAGGGTGACTTTGTTGATCCTCTGGATCGGTGTCCCACTCTCGTCGGTAAGGGCTTCGCTCAGCGTTGGCAGGAATTTGGAGATTTCCTCCGCTGCCTCGATGTTCAGAGGGGCAATCTCAACACTGTTTGGGTCTGCTGCTTCTGCGGCTGCTGCTGCTGGAGCAGCTTCAATTCTCCTCAAATCTTCATCCGGAGACTGGACTCTTCCGGCTTGAGTCTGGAAGAACGCAGGGAGCTTATCCGCTCTTGGAAGCGGGCCCGCGATGGCCAGGCCAGCTATGCTCAGGATGCAAAAACAGATCTGTAAGAGTAAGTTTATATTAAGTAAAGCAATGATAATATGTTTACAAAACAAACTTACAGTTCATGATTCGTTCATTACAAGTGGCACTGGCGCCGTATAATCGTACGTAATATTTTAGTGTATAGCCAAAGATGGCTTATTGAGCTAAAGAATGAATGAAACAGCCTTCCTCCTATTCATATTAAACACAGGAGATAACACAGAAGCTGGACTGACTAGCGTCTCGCTTGTCTCAACAGTAACATCCCAGAGTTCTCCGGAAGATCATGACACAATGTGCGTTGAAATCTCCAAACCAATAACACATATTTTAAACATATACAATTCTCAAAAACAAAAAGCCATCCAGTGACACCTATCAATAATTTATGAAAATGATATACGCCGCCGTTCTGAAAGCACAATAATTTAGAACGAAATCTTAGTTATCGTGGTGTTGGATAATTACACGGCGATCTACAGCTGTTCTTCAACCATTTGGAGTGTAGTTAATTCCTACACAGCAATTATACAACACTGTAGTTAGATGGTGTAATATATTCCACAGGTAGTTATCTTACGCCTGACAACTCGGCACGCTAGTACCTGTGTTCATAGATCAGACTTCGGAATATACACACAAAAAATGCGTCTACAGCTCTAAACCATTCATTATGTAGTGGTACGTTCAGCCATTATAGCTACCCAAATGTCGTACCGTAATTCATACTTCTGGTGACTCGGCTGGGTGCTATAGCCACTGATTACCTTATTCATAAGGTAATCATTCCTACGCCTCGAAAATCCTAATCTTGCTAAAAAAAATCAGTTTAGTTGTTTCTAAACCAACACTTACAACTACATACATATATTCATACATATGTATGCAAAAAATCATTTGATTGACAGTTGAAAGGCAGGTTCATAGAGCCAGAGCTCAACCCCCGCAAGCCCAACTAGGTGAGCACATACATACATACATACATACATACATACATACATACATACATACATACATACATACATACATATATACATACATAATCTGTTTTTGTTTCAACATTACCCCATTAAGTCAGATTTAATGTATATCATATTAATCCCTTTAATGTATTAACAAGATTTCAGTATACCAACAGCTCATTTGCCCCCAACAGATATTTAATTTTTGTAATGTTAATTCATATTTATACTTGACGATTAGCAAGGTAGCCATAATATTTAAGCAAGTCCATAAATATTGCTAACTATCCTTATATATTCAAACACAAATATTGTCATTACATGAACAAATCCACTAGGGCCGTGACGAGGGTTCGAACCTGCGTCCGAGAGGATCCCACACGCTGCTTTAATCGACTGAGCTACGACATGGTAAAAAAAGAATTGCAACCAGAAGTTCTACTGAACTTACTTGGATCCTGCAGCCTCTCCGAGACACAAACCAGGGTTTTACACATTTGTTCATTTGATGCATCACGCTATTGTGATTTCTGTGTGTAATTGTCCTTACATGGTTAAATGCCCCACCTGACTACTGTTCACATGGTTCAACCAGGGTGTTTAAGTTTAATTGAAATAAAACGTACTAAATAATTATTTGAGATAAAAGTTATACTAAGATAAATAATTTAATACCATACACACAAAATCCTACACTTGTACGTACACTTAAAATATACAAAACTGGGTGACCTCAGCGGTCCACAGTGGCATCATACTGCTGCCCAGCTGAGCAAGACGGGACACCCTGACCTCACACACGTGATACAGCCCAATTGTTCACACTATCGACCACAGCGTCAAAATCCCAGCGCTTTACTGACATTAAACCACCATAATGTCGACGTTCACTGCGACTATAAAGAACATTAACGAAAGTGTAGGGAATTACCTGCGTTTTCACGCTTTTGATTAATATTTGATTAATCATTAATGTTGATTAATGTGATGCATTAATATTGTGATTAGTAGCTAAAGAGAAATCGTTCGCATTGAACTGGTTTCCGAGCCGGTTGGGTTGATTATATAAGCCGTCTCTCGCTCGCTGAGCGAGAGACATATGGAGGCTGAGCATGAAAATGCTCTCTGTGGCGTCTTCGTTCCTTTGGACTTCGTTCACAACAGTCTGGTGTTTCGTTCGGGAAACACTGGATCGCTCTCCGTGTTCAGTAACTGCGTTATTTTTTTAAGGCAACTCGAGCAAATTTAATCATTTGATACTGGAAGCAAAATAGAGCCTGATCTGACGTACGTGTGTGTGTGTGTGTGTGTGTGTGTGTCAGCGTGTGTGTGTGTGTCAGCAGGTCCATTAACCGGAGGGGACTAGTCAGTAAGGTCAGTAACCCCGAGATGACTTGTCAATAGGATCAGCAGGCTGTGCTGAAGTTGCCTC